AAAAATTACCCTTGAATATGATACAGAATTGCCATATTTAGCTGTTTGGGAACTCTCATAGATTTTGGCAGAATGCTAAAGGACCTCACAAATGGTACACGTGAATGTATAGTTTGCTTCAGCCCTACTGAATGGCTTTAGAATCAACAGCAGTCTGCAAGCTCTGCCAACCTTTTTTTCTAATCTGTAAAAATAAATTCATTACAGGCGTTACAGAATAGCCACTTGTTTTTCAGAAGTACTTATACTGAAGCTTCCTGTGATATGCTGCAAATCTATAATGTCAATGAAAATGCCACACACAACATTCTTGCAATAATGAAAATGCATCCCAAAGCAGTAAAGTAAAAGACCGCAATAGGACTAGTGGCAGTGGTCTTTAATTAGACCAACAAGATTTTTGGGGGGAAAAAAAACCTTTCATTTCTTTTAAGTGCTGTTGGGGGGGTTGTTTTTGGGGGGGTTGTTTTTGTTTTGTTTTGTTTTTTGTTTGGGGGGAGGTTGGGGGGTTTTTTTGGTGGGTTTTTTTGTTGCAAAAATCTTGTTGGTCTAATAAAAGATATTACCTCTACCATGAGTCCCGATTCCTTTTTCCTCTGGACCAATACTGCTACAACTTGGATATAAGACTACCACATACATTCATTGGGTTCAATACAGGGGCAAAAGGGTGATATTCTAAGGACTGTGTATACCAGAGGCCAGACTAGATGGTTTAATAATCCCTTCTAGCCTTAAAAATCTATGAATCAGGATTGGCCTCCACACCACAGGCAGGTAAGCATTTGAGACTTGTTACAAAAGGCATTCTTCTAGAGAGGCAAATAACATTCACTCCTCTTTGGCACTGATTAAGGCTTATCTACACTAGGAAATTGGCTTGTGGCTAATCGTTGTCAGCCCATCACAATCCCATAATTGACAAGTGTAGGCAAATTTGTACTCATTTGACTTGGGCAACTGGTGAGCAAAGTTATTTCCTATGCATCAATTCTTACTGAAAATTTAAAAAAATATATCCTTGAGTCCAGGACCAGAGAAAAAACTAATCTTTTCCCAGCTCAATGACACAAGAAAGTGCTGCCTAAAAGAACAAAAGACAAAGAATCCAATTCAGACACTAAGGAAGGAAGGAGCTGGCTGTTAAAGACAAATTTAAGCTATGCCTAGCATCCAGCTATGTGCATGTTCCTTAAGTATGCAGAAGTCCAGATTCTACTGATCTGACTCACGCTGTGGAGTACTTTACTGAGCATGTGATTTAACTGATTTGTAAGGAATCCTGCCTTGTAGAAAGTGCCTAAAAGTCATATGTTCCATTGTTTTTATGACACCTCTGTTTTCAGTGTTCCTAGCACTAACTTACTTGTCCATTTGTACCCCTTTACCAAAATTGAGAATGTTGGCTGGAAGTAAGATATTTGAGGGGGGTTTTCCCCTTTAAAAATGGATATAGAATCAATAACTTCCACTTACAGAACCTCTGGGGACAGGCCAGGGGGACCTCAGTTTAGTGCCTCGTCTGAATGCTGCTCTATGTGCTACTTCAGATATCAGGTGTGCAGCTGTCCTGGGGCCTGGGTGGGGGGCAGGGGAAGGTGTGCCTGCTGGAGCCAGCAAAGCCAGCACCATGGCCAGCAGGAGCATGGGTCACTGGTTGTTGCTGGTAGGGGCAGGGGCTGGGGCTGGGGCTGGAGCAGCTCTGGGGTGGGGGGGCG